TCCAAAAGCGCCTCCTGCTTTCAGAGAATGAATTAGCATTTTCATTCAGCCCGTCTGCTGTTTTTGTTCAGACCAGTGTGAAAATGTTTTTATGCAGTAAACACGGAGCGTTGTAAATGTTAACCAGTGGATCGAAAAGAAGATAATGCAATGCAAAAATGTAAACAATTAAGACAAAATAATATATTTGTATGTTAATTAATATAATAATTGACTGATAATAATTCAATTATAAATTATAATTATAATTATAAATATAATAATATATATATTTTTTAAAATGGTTTAAAGGCTGAAATGTTAAGTTTATAATTTTATAAAACTTTTTGTTTCTGTGAAAACCTGCATCGGAACTGTAAATCATGCTTTTTACAGTCATTTTAATTTTATTTGTGATTTTTAAATGGTTTAAAGGCTGAAATGTTAAGTTTATAATTTTATAAAACTTTTTGTTTCTGTGAAAACCTGCATCGGAACTGTAAATCATGCTTTTTACAGTCCTTTTAATTTTATTTGTGCAGGTCTTAAAAAAAGGTCTTAAAAAGTCTTAAATTTGAGCTTAAATATCCTACAGATACCCTGGCCTGGCAAAAACCCTCAATTCATGCTTTTAGGTATTTAATTGTCTGGACCTCGACTGGTGAGGAGGGTTCCTTACTGGACCTCAAGCAATTTTAGTTGAAGACCCCTGCTCTAAAATATCAAGAGTTCAAAACAGTAAAACTATGAGAATGTCTAAATATATATCCAAATCCACAACTTAATAAAAATAAGTATTTATGTCTAAAAACAACTAGAGAATTTATAAGCCTTTTTATATAAAGCTATACACGAATCTAGTGGCTAAGCCAAGAAATTGCAGATGTTTTTCTTTTTTTACTGCCACCAGATGGCCCTAATCTGCCTTCAAAAATTGGATTTTAAAGGCATTGTCTCTATTTTAACATGACATACTGCCATAATTGAAAAGTAATATAAAAATATTAGATTTTTTTATTATTATTTTCAATGGGAGAAAAATGATCATATTTATTGCATAAATATTAATTGGTACCATGAAATTCTGTCAAAATACAAAATAAAAAAAATAAAAAATATTATTGAACAAAAATATATTACATTGATTTTAATGAAAGAAAAAATAAATTTCAGGTGTTCGGTCACTTTTGACCGCAAACAACACAAGTGTGACCCCCAAATGAACAATACCAGAGGGTTAAATGACAGCAGCGTAATATACAGTACCTACTGCTGTCTATGCTGTTAATATTAGCCAAACAATAAAATAAAAACAGAAATCACTCACTGCTCTTGACCGATTAACTTCTGTAGCTTGAATAAGAAGACATTTCTTACTTGAATGCTGCTTTTAAATGCTCTAGCATGAAGATAAACATGGCGGATTGTGTGCGGCTCACTCTGAGCGGGATATACGCAATATGGTTAAGCCTTTTTATATAAAGCTATACACGAATCTAGTGGCTAAGCCAAGAAATTGCAGATGTTTTTCTTTTTTTACTGCCACCAAAAAAATTGGATTTTAAAGGCATTGTCTCTATTTTAACATGACATACTGCCATAATTGAAAAGTAATATAAAAATATTCGATTTTTTATTATTATTTTCAATGGGAGAAAAATGATCATATTTATTGCATAAATATTAATTGGTACCATGACATACTGCCATAATTGAAAAGTAATATAAAAATATTAGATTTTTTTATTATTATTTTCAATGGGAGAAAAATGATCATATTTATTGCATAAATATTAATTGGTACCATGAAATTCTGTCAAAATACAAAATAAAAAAAATAAAAAATATTATTGAACAAAAATATATTACATTGATTTTAATGAAAGAAAAAATAAATTTCAGGTGTTCGGTCACTTTTGACCGCAAACAACACAAGTGTGACCCCCAAATGAACAATACCAGAGGGTTAAATGACAGCAGCGTAATATACAGTACCTACTGCTGTCTATGCTGTTAATATTAGCCAAACAATAAAATAAAAACAGAAATCACTCACTGCTCTTGACCGATTAACTTCTGTAGCTTGAATAAGAAGACATTTCTTACTTGAATGCTGCTTTTAAATGCTCTAGCATGAAGATAAACATGGCGGATTGTGTGCGGCTCACTCTGAGCGGGATATACGCAATATGGTAGTGTCCATCAACAGTCATTGGTAGGGCCTGTAAAATGTGACGTCACTTTGTACAGGTTCTGCAAACGGCTTGTTCTGAGACACTGCTTATGATTTATGGGGATTAAAAAAGAGTGGGTGGATTTTTATCATTATAGGGTGGGTGTGTTCACACACTGCCAATACACATTTATGTCCAAACACCATGTAAAAGTCAATTTTGCATAACAGGGGCCCTATAAAGTTGTCTGATTGATCCTACTCATGACATTGACTTGTTTAATTCAACAAATACTTGAATTGTTAAGTGATAAATCATTCAAATATACTTCATTATATAACAATATGATTTTTATTGACATTCTTCTCAAGATTTAGAAGTTTTTTTCTGAAGAATTAATCCTTTAATTTAAAATTGTACTTAAAGGCACAATATTCAATTTTGCATAACAGGGGCCCTATAAAGTTGTCTGATTGTACGGTCCTACTCATGACATTGACTTGTTTAATTCAACAAATACTTGAATTGTTAAGTGATAAATCATTCAAATATACTTCATTATATAACAATATGATTTTTATTGACATTCTTCTCAAGATTTAGAAGTTTTTTTCTGAAGAATTAATCCTTTAATTTAAAATTGTACTTAAAGGCACAATATGTAAGATTTTTTTATTAAAATATCCAAAAACCACTAGAACAGTGTTATATATTTTGCGGATGCTGTTAATATTAGCCAAACAATAAAATAAAAACAGAAATCACTCACTGCTCTTGACCGATTAACTTCTGTAGCTTGAATAAGAAGACATTTCTTACTTGAATGCTGCTTTTAAATGCTCTAGCATGAAGATAAACATGGCGGATTGTGTGCGGCTCACTCTGAGCGGGATATACGCAATATGGTAGTGTCCATCAACAGTCATTGGTAGGGCCTGTAAAATGTGACGTCACTTTGTACAGGTTCTGCAAACGGCTTATTCTGAGACACTGCTTATGATTTATGGGGATTAAAAAAGAGTGGGTGGATTTTTATCATTATAGGGTGGGTGTGTTCACACACTGCCAATACACATTTATGTCCAAACACCATGTAAAAGTCAATTTTGCATAACAGGGGCCCTATAAAGTTGTCTGGTTGTACGGTCCTACTCATGACATTGACTTGTTTAATTCAACAAATACTTGAATTGTTAAGTGATAAATCATTCAAATATACTTCATTATATAACAATATGATTTTTATTGACATTCTTCTCAAGATTTAGAAGTTTTTTTCTGAAGAATTAATCCTTTAATTTAAAATTGTACTTAAAGGCACAATATGTAAGATTTTTTTATTAAAATATCCAAAAACCACTAGAACAGTGTTATATATTTTGCGGAATTGTGTACTTACACTATCCCAAATGTTTCGAAGAGTGTTTAAATCCAGAGAAATAAGCTATTTTAACTAGTGACACGGAGCGTGTCTATAGTGTCATTGTGTCACCTGCCAATGACGTCATAACCCCTCGATTTTTTTTTTTGTAGAAAACATGGAAACACCAAAGACGCTTTAAAATGTTGTGCTTTTTTTTTTTAGACAGGTGATGACCGCACAGAGTAGCATTATAACATCATTTTCAAACGTATCTAGTATGATAAAACAGCGCTGCTTTACCCCACACACGCACGACCGGAAGGAGCGGAAGCGCTAAAGTGTGGCATAATAAAAGCTCCGCTGCTTTCGAACCGTGTGTCACTCTCGTCTCTCATTAGCAGTTGCTTCAGTGGCCTCGTTTCGCTTCAACGGCTTTCCGCCTCACTCTGCTATAATATAGTATACTATGATGTTAATAAATCTTTAATACATGAGTCCCGTCGGATTGCGTCGGCTGTGGGGATGAAGACGACAACTCCCATGATTCCACACTCAGTCACAGTATCATCAAACTACACCTTTGTTTCTTTGTTTGTTTTGAAAACTTACATATTGTACCTTTAAGGCGTATTGGGAATAGACAATATTCTTAACTTTTTTTTTCTCAAGTTACAAAATAAGGAGAACAACATAGTTTTATTCTTAATGATGTGAATCTGGCTGCAGATCTCTGTGATGATAAAATTTATAATTTTCTTGAACTCTAGAGACTGTCCATAGTTCCTCTAGTAACACCATCATTTTGGAAAGCCTTTGAGGAGCTAGAACTACATATTGAAGTTCCTTGTGAACAATATTATATTTGAGGTTCAGTCTTTCATATGGAATTCCTAACCTGGCAAAATCCCGTGATATAAGACTTTGGCCATATTGTCAATCTAAGTCATTCATCCCACTATCAACAGTTCTGTCATGTAGGCTACACTTCTTGTATTTTGTTTGGGCACAACACAAGGTGTCACTGTGGCCTCAAAGCTTACAACTGGCTCATTACTATTCCTGAGGTAAAACAGGTCCTCCTCATTACCCTACGGACAAAGAAATGCATAAATAAATAAATGTGAAAGTAAATAAATACAGAAATAAATACAGAAATGTGGACATAAATAAAATTATTTTTTAATTAATTTTGCTTTTTTTACATTTCTTTGTATATTTATTTATTTATTTCTAATTTTGTCAGTTTGGAATTCCCTTCAGACAGAAGAATCAGAAACGGAGCCTCAAGTTTCTTTTCACTTTTACACTGTTGAGTCTGTTCTGGACTTCAGTAGATTTAAGAAACAAGAAACATTCTAAAAAAATAGTTCATTATATTCCAGAAATAGTATGACCTTCACTTACTACCAACTGAAAAAATCTAGTAGTTTTGTGTCATGATAAAACAGTGTGTGTGTGCGAGCACAGATCTTCTCCAGACTCACTGTTCTGGACGATGTCCTGCATCTTCTTCCAGACTCTGAAGGGCAGGTTGCCCAAGTAACGCGGCATATCAATCAAAGCTCCAGAAGGTGTCTGTGGATCCGGCTGTGATGAGATCTGGACTCTGGAAGAACATTCAGGATCAGAACTGCAGTGGATTTGGATCAGAAGCAGAGAGAGCAGAGACAGCAGCAGATCACTCACCTTTCCATTGAGACTGGAAACTCCTGCAGAACAAACACACAGTTTATCATCAACAACTCAATCAATCAATCAATCAATGATCTGAAATCAGACCTTCAGAAAGCAGACGTCACTGGCTTTCATCATCTCCTCCGTGTCTTTGATCGTGTGTGAAAGAGCTGAGATGTGTCTGTTGAGCTCCTCCAGCTTCTCCTTCATCATCTGCTTCTTCTGCTCCTCTTCCTCCCTCAGTGCAGTGAATGTAGCTTCTTCTTCATCTCTGAGAAACTGATGAAGCGTTTCAAACTGCTGTTTAATCTGACGCTCTGTGTGATCAGCTTGAGACTGAAATCAAACCACATTCACTTCAATTCTGAGATCGGAGATAAACCCAAATACCGACATAGTACAGATTCAGAGACATATTGCTGCTTGTCATCGACAGAAATAATAAACTGGAATCCATTATAATAAATATAACAAATCATAATTGTATGTAGTGATCCGACAGCTGTAATGAAAATGACTCTTGATTCTGTTTCCTCACCTTGATGTGTTGAACTGGTTTCTCAAATTCTCCTTTCATTTTTTTATTGTTTTTATGTTTCTCTTGTAAGGACTTCAGTGCTGTATTCACCTCCTCCTCCTAAAGAAATAAATAAATATATATATATAAAAAAACAAACAGATAATAGTAAAGAGGAGAACGGAATACTATACATCATACAGTGCTGTGAACAATTATTTGTCCTATCCTGATTTCTTTTGTCAGAAATTAAAACCTAACATAAAACAAAGTCAATCTGAGTAAACACAAAGTACAGTTTGTAAAAAGACAATGTTGCATATTGAATCAAAAAAGTTATAATGCCAAAGAAACTCCAGAAATAATGAGGATGAAGGTGATTAAAATGTAGCAGTCTGGGAAGTGTTACAAAGCTATTTCAAATGCTCTTGGACTATAACGAACCACAGCAAGAGCCTTATCTCCAAATGAGAACAACTCACAGTAGCAAACTTTCCCAGAAGTGGCTCATCCAAGAAGCTACAAAAGAGCCAAGAACAACATTGAAGGAGACCGTCTGATCTTCTGTCTGTAAATTGAAGCTCAAGCTCTACTGGATTACGCAACAAGACAATGATGCAAAGCACAGGAGTAAATCCACCACTGAATGGCTCAAAAAACAAAACTAAAGCACAATTCAAGTTTTGGAGTGGCCTAACCAAAGTCCTAACTTGAACTGAGATGCTGTGGGACCATTATTAAACAGGCAGTTTGTGCTGGAAAACGTTCAAGTGTTGCTGAACTAAAACAAGTCTGCAAAAGAAATCCCACCACAGCACAATGAAAGACTGATCTGCAGTTATCTCAAGTGTCTGGTTACAGTTATTGCTGCTAAAGCGGACAATTACTTTTTCACATGGATGAAATTTTTTTTACTCGGGTTGTTTTTGTTTCATAGTGAATTTTGTTTGAATATCTAAAACTATTTAGTATGAGATGTACACAAAAAAATATCTAAATGAGGCAAATACTTTTTCAAAGCACATATGAATGTAATGATAGCTGTGTTTATGACTATTTATTGTTCTTTACATATCAAACAAAAGTAATTTAGTCATACCTTACATGATGAAACCACTTCACCGATGGGTCTGAATGTGTGATTGACGTGTTTCTGTGAATCTCTGCACACTAAACACACCGGCTGTTTGTCTTCCAGACAGAAGAGTTTGAGTTTCTCGCTGTGTAAACTGCAGAGCTCCTCAGATGCTAATGAACGCCTCTCATTTCTCTCCTTCAGGAACGACTCACACACGTTTTTTAAGGCAAAATTACATGGAGGATCATCTCTTGAGGATCTTCTCCTGCAGACAGGACACTCCTGAGTTTCTTTGGTTCTCCAGAACTGTTGAAGACACTTTTTACAGACACTGTGACTACATGATAAAACAACAGGAGACTTGAATATTTCATAACACACAGGACAAGATAAACCTTCTTTAACAGAATCCATTTCAGCAATCTAAACTTTACTTTTACTTTCTGACTGATGGTTTAAAAAAATGTTTCTGTTCAAAAACAAAACGTCTTAAAAATCCTTGTTGAAAGTGTTTCTCTTCCTTCTCCACTGACTGCTGATCCTTTTTTGCTTATTGTCAGAGAAGAGAGTCAGTATGAGAGAGATGGAAAATAAGTCAGTCTCTTATTGGTTAGTGTCGTAAGAGGGTGGAGTTTCAGATGAAGTGGAGGTGTTAAAACAGCTTATAGGACTCACACTAGAGACGATCTGAACCGTGCTGGAGCGCGTTTGACTGGATCGTTTGACTAGTGTGATTTCCCCTCTCCCCAATCACCCCCTGGATTTCTCACAATCTGTGTGCTGCTCTCTGGAGTGGAGACCACAGTTCCCAATGTTGTTGCATTAACAGGTAGATGCATTACAATCCACATTACAGTCAGTGGATGATTCGCTGAATTAGTAATTTGGTAGTTTGTTGTAATACTGTCGGTAATGATTTGCTCTAGGTCTTTTAAAAGTGATAACAACAAAATATCCACGTTCTTAGAATTAGAATGTCTGATCAAATTATTGTACCCAATCATATCTAATATAAATAACACAAAATTAGCTGTTGTTGACACACTTTGTAGACAAAAAAAAATGCCTTCGCAAAAAAGAAGACAGAGAGAGAGAGAAAGAGCGAAGGGAGGCTGCTAAAGGCAGTTCAACATTGCAAACATGAATACAAAGCTCCAGCAAGCCAGCAGGTAAATCATCATATAGAATATTTAGCAGTTTGTCACACTTTAATTCTAGTAATTAAGTATATTTCTCATTATAATCACTTGTCTTGATATTAGTAATCTATAACACATCATATTTGATTAAAACCATCTTAACGGTAGGCCTATAAAATAGTTAAAAAATAATATAAATATTCTAAATTAGTTGTTTATTAGTATATCATATAGATTTATGCTGAAAAATATTAAATTAAATGTCTAATACTTACAGGGAAGAGTGGGGTCAGATTAGCCATTTTTTACTTATGCGGTCCTGAAGATAAGTTAAAATGATGCAGAAGTACAATGAAAGTATCTATCCTATATCCTATCCTAATGAAAGTATTCCTATCATTTTAAGTGATCAGTATGTGTCTATGACAAAGGGTTCTAAAAATATGGCTTCTTATAAAAAAAAGTGTTCCCATGGCTCAGTTTGCCCCGGGTTAGGGGTAATATTTAACTGTTTGCATTTCTGAAACAATATGTCCTTCCTAAAAACAAACTAAACAGAGAGTTTGTTGGCCATTAGGGACTACAGGTGGAAAGATATATCTGATTACCGAGGAGCAGGATGAAGGGTCTACAGAGAAGGGCAAGATGCAGGAGGTGAGTGAGATTAATTTACATGCTATGAGTGTGGAGCAAGCTGGATGTAGTTCTGTCTCTGATAAACATGGAGATGTAACAGATGATACTGATAAGAGTGAGGCCAGTAGCGGTTTTTGGCACGGGCGAACCGGGCAGACGCCCGGGGTGGCATTTTTTCATGATACATGGGGGGCGGCACGAGCAGTAAAAAATAAAATTAAAAAATGCTCTGCGTTTTCTATTTTCTATCATTTCACTGTGTGGGGAATTGGCAAACTGGCGCCCCTGCTTGCTGGGAAGGTGCCGTGCACAGAAGCTGTGTGAGAAGTGGAAAGGGGAGCGGCGCGCGGTGTGGGGGACAGTTCACCTCTGGGTCTCTCCCAAATGCAGTGGACAAAGGGGGGGGGGTCCACTGTATAGAGCAATACTCTAATGGAATTAGTGGGCTAAAGTCAGTCACACCTCAACTTTCTGCCAAATAACGCACATTTCATTCATAATATTATAAATACAGGCCTATAGTTCCTGCACATTTTTGTTTTTCTGAATTGTGTGGAATGGCTGATAAAAATAGGTAATACAAAACGATTATGTGGTCCCCAAGGTGAATTGGTTTAGTCTTGACTTCTGGTCGTGAGTGACAGTGTTGGGGGATGGGAAATCTGTTGATTGTCGAGTGCCAAATAAACACAGAGATGGACAGGAAAAGGTCAAAGCCATCAGGTGCCCAATTTAGAAAAAAAAGAAAAGAAGAAGAGGAGAAACGAGCAAAAGATAAAGGTATGCAACTATGTTCTCTCTGTATGATTATTAATTTTGGGAGACACAACAAGTGAATATGGAAATAAATTATACATCAATATTCCTATGAAATATTAGATATTATTATTAAAATGTTGCCAATTATTACTCCAATTATTACACTTCTTTTTTCATTAAATGTTGCTCCAAGAACACATTAATATGCAAATTAGATAGTGTATAGATACATTGTATTGAATGGGAATATTAATTTATGTCCATTTTACCCACATATTGCATAAAGCAAAATGGTGTATCAATTCATTCCATTATATCTTTCATAACATAGTTGAGAATCATCTTTATACAAATTTTGGTTAAAAAAATCCTGAAACCCAAAAAGTTATTGGTGATTGAAAAAAAATCCCATTGTTTTTGCCTATACATATAATTGAAGGGGGTCTCGCCCAGGGTGTAATTCAATGTAGAACCGCCACTGAGTGAGGCCCAGAGTGGTGTGGAATATGTGTGTGAAGTTAATGATGTGGCACAGGCTGAAAGCTTAGAGCAAAATATGGTTGATGGGATGGATATTTTATCCCAGTGTACAGATGATGGATTAGGAGATGATGAACAGTGGACAGAGGGCTCAAGAGGAACTGATAAAGATTTGTATACTGTTGAAGAAATTAATGCATTTCTTGATAAAACTGGCATTGAAGAAAGCAATTACTTTCCTGATATGAACTAATGTATTGCTTCGGTGATGTGGGCTAGGAAGGTGAGTAGCTATGAGGAGCTCTCACAATAGAAGTGGTACCGTCTAAAAAAAACATATTACTGGTCTTAGACAAGGCAAAAAGACAGGGAAAGCGAGGGGAAAAACTAAGTAATCTCAATGGCTTTTAATCTTTTCTTTCTGTTTTTTCCTCTTCCTTTTCCCCTTGCTTATGGAGATCTTGCGGGTGGGATCAATTAATGTAAATGGAATGAGGGATGGGAGGAAAATTTGTTTACTATCAGAAATAATACGATTGAAAGATCTGAGTGTTGTTGGTTTTTTTTGCAAGAAACCCATAGCAATCAAAATAATGAGATTGATTGGGGCTTGTGGTGGGAAGGAGCAAGAATTCTTAGTCATGGGACTAATTTAAGTGCAGGAGTGGCTGTGCTCTTTTCCCCTGTTCTCAAAACAAAGATTGTATCAAAACATGAAGTGGTATCAGGGAGATTATTGGTTGTAAGTGGTGAACATCTACGCTCCTAATATAGGAGAAGACAGAGTACAGTTTTTTATTAAACTAGAGCAATTTTTAAAACCACAGCAGGATGGTGATGTTATTGTATTAGGTGGAGATTGGAACTGCACTTTAGACTTTACACAAGATAGGACTGGAGAAGAACCTCATGCAAAGTCAGCTATTTTTTTTAGCTAATATTATAAAAAATGTTAACTTCTCAGATGTATGGAGAGAGCATAATTCATCAGTACGGCAGTATACATGGATGAAAGTCAGCAATGGAAGCGTTTCTGGTGCACGTTTGGATAGCTGTATTAATCTTATTTCTCAGATTGTGTGATATATAAAACCTATCACCCCAACTGTTCTTTCTGATCATAAGCTTATCACAATTGAGTATATACTAACTGAAAGAAAGCATACGAGTTATTACTGGCATTTTAATGTTAAACTTTTGGATGATAAACATTTTTGTGAGAATTTTTAACTTTTTTGGGAAGCCTGGAAAAAAGTGAAAAGTGCATTTATGAAAGTATCATTCAGTAGTGGGAAGTTGGTAAAGTGCACATAAGAGGGTTTTGTCAACAATATACATCTCATTCCTCTTTAGTTCTGAAAAAGACATTAGAGTGGTTGGAAAAAGAGATCATGGACATTGAAAAAAAAAGAATGATAATGAAGCTAGAAATCTACAAGACCTGTGAACTGAAAAAAAAATCAGCTAAGCTCCTTTTTAAATGAAAAAGTTAAAGGAGCACTTGTAAGAAGTCGTTTTTAAACAATAAGAGATATGGATGAACCTTCTTCTTATTTTTTTTTTTTAACTTGGAGCGAAAAGCAGGTCAAGAAAAACAGATGTATGTTTTAAAGGACAACAATGGATGTAACACTTCAGACCCAATAATGATGCGCAAACTTGCTGTGGATTTTTATTCTAATTGATATGCTGCTGACAATTCAGATGAACAGTGCAGAAATCAACTGTTACAAGATCTTCCTGTTTTAAGATTGGAACACAAACAATCTTTAGACACTGAACTCACTTTTAAAGAGATTACTGCTGCTGTTATGGGACTCTCCTCAGGACATACGCCAGGACTGGACGGATTACCTGCTGAATTTTATAAGAGTTTTTGGAATATTATTGTTCATGATTATTTTGAGGTAATCCAAAAATGTATCAAAGAAAGAGTTCTTCCTTTGAGTTGTCAGCGGGCAGTTTTAACGCTACTCCCCAAAAACATTACCTGACATTCTTAAAGAACTGGAGACCTGTAGCAATTTTAGGCTCTGATTATAATTTTTTTTCTAAATATATATACATATATATATATATTTTCTTATAATAATACCAATATAGGTTTTCTGTCATTAGACCAAGAAAAACCCTTCGACAGAGTTGATCATATTTTTCTTTTTGATACTTTAAAGGCTTTTGGTTTTGGAGACAGATTTATTTCCAAAATAAAACTGCTGTATGCTGGGGCCACATGTATGATTAAAATAGCTGGTGGCCTCAGTTTTCCTGTGAAAGTCAATAGAGGCATTCGGCAAGGTTGTCCTATTTCAGGTCAACTTTATAGTATAGCCATTGAGCCTTTCCTAAGTAGACTGAGAAGACAGCTAACAGGTCTACAGGTCAATACATTGGATTTTA